GCACACATTGTTGAAAGTCGAGGGAGATCGATGTTTAGAGGCTCCCAAAGTCAAGATAAATTGAGAGGCAGATCGAAATCTAAAAAGAGGTTCACTTGCTTTTATTTTCAAAAGGCAGGGCATAAGCAAAGTGAATGTCGAATATGGAAGAGGGACATGCGATCAAAGAATGACAAGAGTAGTGATAATGAAGACAAGAAAAATGTCACGGCTAAGCAGTTGGTGACGAAGTTTATTTTGCAGGTGATGACTCAAGTTATAACCTTACAAATAAAGATTGTAGCTGGGTGATTGATACAGGTGCTTCATATCATCTAACTGTAAACAAAGATTACTTCACATCGTACACTAGCGGCGATCTTGGCTTTGTGAGGATGGGAAATAATGGATCCTGCAAAATAATTGGTATTGGAGATGTTTGCATGGAAACCAATGTAGGGTGCAAGAAGCTAGCTTTACATGATGTTAGACATGTTCCAAATGTAAGGCTGAATTTGACCTCAGCTGGCAAACTTGACGATGAAGGGTATGCGAATCACTTTTCTAATGGAAAGTGGAAGTTGTCTAGAGGCTCGATAATCATTGCTCATGGAAAGAAGCAACAAACCCTTTATGTCACAAATGGGAAGCTCAACACACAATTAAATGTAGCCGAAAAATGTTCTATCAAGTTATGGCATAAGCGGCTCGGGCATATGAGCGAGAAAGGATTGCAAATCCTCACTCGAAAGAAAATTCTTCCGTCGAAGGTTGTTCATTTGAAATCTTCTGTTGATTGTTTAGCTGGAAAACAACACAGAGTTTCATTTCGAAGAAATCCACCATCTAGAAGACCACGTATTCTAGATTTGATTTACACAGATGTATGTTCTATGATAGAAAAATCTCTTGGTGGGGCATCTTATTTTGTCACATTTATTGATGACCATTCCAGGAAAGTATGGGTTTATCTTTTGAAAAGTAAAGACCAAGTCCTTAATGCATTCAAGGAGCTTCATGCAAAAGTAGAGAGAGAACCTTATTATTGATAGTCCTTTCTAGACCGCCCCATAGTACTATCTGAATGATGTATTATTGTCTTATGTTTACTTGTCTAGAGCTGTTGTTCTCATGTCCCATAAACTAGCGTATGTAATATACATCTCACCTTATATGCCAACATTTCAGGAAGGGTTCCCGTCTTGGACATGACACACTTGTTGATGGGATGCTCAAAGATGGGCTGTGGGATGTTTACAATGATTGTGGCATGGGAGTTTGTGCTGAATTATGTGCAGAACATCATGCAGTAACAAGAGAGGATCAGGTAAAGTCTTGACTCCATTTTTAATGCTTGTACCATCCATATATAGGGTAACTATGTCTTGCTCTAACTAATTGCTTTTTGATAGAATTATGCTTAAAGTTGGAGATTGATCCATATTATCACCACAATTTATAAATAAACCTTTAACTTAAACCTATGTGGTAAAAGCTATTGCATTTCTTCTCTATTTTATACAATGAATAAATACTTGTTTTGCATGACGCTACAGGATAACTATGCTTGCCAAAGCTTTGAGCGTGGCGTTGCTGCTCAGGAGGCTGGTGCTTTTTCATGGGAGATAGTTCCCGTAAGGGCATAACTTTGTTGTTATATTTTCATTCTCTTTTCTGTGATTGTTTCATACTGATATATATGTATCGGTGCAGGTTGAAGTTTCCGGTGGAAGGGGAAAACCAACAACAGTCGTTGATAAAGATGAAGGCCCTACTAAGGTATAATATTGATAAGTAACATTGTCAATGACATCTCATGTTGAATAGTAATTATTTATGTGTACGTTAATGTTTGTTTATCCCTTTGTTATATTGATTGTTTGATGCTCTATGTCTTTTCATTATTTTACCAAAAATCCTTTTCCTATTCCTATTCAATTTTTTTTCTATGGCCTTCAAAATGCAATGACCTTTGTGGAGAGTATTGACGTGGTCCTGGTGTAGCCAAGAAGTACCCCTTCTATGTAATTTTCAATTTCTTATGTCAAAATAAAATGAATGAAAAAACTGGTCATCAAGTGGCTCATTTTGATTTGAGTAAAGCCTATAAGCTCTCTGGACTGATTTGACTTTACATCTGTATTCTGCCAAAGTTTTCATTTCTGTTTATGCTATCTTTATCAGGGGCTGCTTGAGTTCATCTTTTTTCTTCTCTTGTGTGTTGCAGTATGACCCTGCCAAATTAAGAAAACTTAGACCAAGTTTCAAAGCAGATGGAGGCACTGTTACTGCTGGAAATGCTTCTAGCATAAGGTTTGTCACTTACTCGTGGATGTTGTGCTTGTTAGGTGATATATATGTAGGGAAGTCAAATGTTGCAAACTTGCAGTGCATGCACTCTTTTCTAACATTTTTATTGTTTGATGACAGTGATGGTGCTGCTGCAATTGTTTTAGTGAGTGGAAAGAAGGCACTAGAGCTTGGGTTAGAGGTGATTGCTAAGATTAGTGGTTATGGAGATGCTGCTCAGGTATTGTATGAACTTTTTACTTGTAGACAACATACTCTAGAGTTTTACGTAAAAAGTTTGGAGGATTATTATTACCTATAAAGTAATAAGTTTTTTTAATATGCATTTTGAGTTTTGCCATCATGGCATTTTTTTTGTTACTGAATCCTAATTTATGGTCAGGCTCCAGAGAATTTTACGACAGCTCCTGCCCTCGCAATACCAAAGGCCATTTCTCATGCAGGCTTGAATGCTTCTCAGATTGATTACTATGAGATAAATGAAGCTTTCGCTGTATGTGCTCTTTTTCTTTGTCATGCTTGAAGCTATGAGCAACTGTCATATTTTAATTAATCTTCTTCTGACATGAGCAGGTTGTTTCTGTTGCGAACATGAAATTGCTTGGACTTTCTGAGGTCAGTCTCCTGGGACCTAAAACTTCTTGCACACTGAAAAAACAATATATTCACGCTCAATTATGTTTGCATAAAGTTGTGTCATGTCCACATCATTGTGCCGTCGTTAGTGTTGTGGTTTCTTCATATGCTAACAAGGTCCTGAGCCATTCGACTTGATGGTGTTTGTTGACTTTCTACCTTCAATTCTGCAGGAAAAAGTAAATGTGCATGGTGGAGCTGTGTCTTTGGGACACCCTCTTGGGTGCAGTGGAGCACGAATCATCGTGACACTCTTGGGGGTATAACTCTAATTGCTCTTTTACGGTGTATGTTTGTATAGTTTGGTGCAAAAATGTATCTCAAAATCATTTCATTTGACACAGTTACAATTTTGTTATCCTCATACAATGAATAGTGGGTATATCAGGTTAAGACGAGTTATCAAAAGTATCTGAATGCAACCCTTTTTTGGTTGGCTGTACCTTTTTACAGGGTTGTTATTGACTCTTTCCTGATTGTAATTGCATTGCTTTTACAGGTACTACGACAGAAAAGTGGGAAATATGGTGTTGCTGGTGTTTGTAATGGTGGAGGTGGTGCATCTGCTCTTGTTGTAGAGCTTTTGTAAGACTTGATATTTAAGGTAACCCCAAGCAATAGTCCTCACTCATTGCAGTTTTGAATAATAATATTTCGTCAAGCTTTGGGCATCTTCATTCCTGCTTTTGGCCCTTATATAGTTCTGTACTTTCTGAAATAGAAATTCCAGCAGTATATTTTAGTATCATTCAGTGAAGGATACAAAATAAATCTGACTGGGAGAGAACTCTGAAATGTGTTGTATTATGCTTTTAAATTGCAGGCTTATTGAGGACTTAGCTCATCACAACGTTGGAGGAGCTGTTAGAAATAAGTTGTATGCAACCTGTCATTTATGACATTTTTTATGCCCCCCTTTATATGGCTCCAGTAATGCAAGCATTTTTTTTAAAAAAATAAAATTAATAGTGGTACAAATGTTTTCGTACTTCGGTAGCTTTTGGTTTTTGTTTTTTTTTCTTACTTGGCGTTTGGAAGTTTAGATGATATGATAGTATTTGTTTTATGTTGTACTAGGACCGACCAATTGAATGGGGGCATAAGCTGTATTCTTTGTATCTCATCTTTAAGTTTATGTCTATTCTTGATTTTAAGTAATAATAAGCTGAATGTTGATTCCGAAAATGGAATTGGATCCATTACATATTGCAATTAACCTGAATGGTGAGTGCAAGTCCATCAGCTGGATTATTAAACAGTTGGTTTTGTGTTACTATCATTGACAGGTGAAAAGTGATGGTTTTCAACTTCAAATTCCATCATCTTTTATTAGACTGTTTAAGAGTGGCAGCTAATCATTAATTTGTAGGGGCGTAATTGCTCATCTTTGCCTATAATACTTTTCATAAATTTTGTTTATCACAAAGGTATAAAAACTGAAATGCAATACTCATTAGATCTTGCTAACGAACGCCTCCGGGGCGTTAAATAACCCTTTAAAATAGTTCCTAAAATGGTACGAAATATTAATTTGAAAATACATGCCAAAATCGCACAGTGATCAATGTAATTAATGTTTACGGAGTATTTCAAGTTAATATTTCTACTTTAATTTATCTTGTCGGGCATTCGTTAGCTTTTGCCATTAATAATAATTATGAACATTAATTACAGACATTAATAATAATTATGAATATTAATTATGGACATTAATATATATGTAGACATTAATATAAAATGAAAACAACAGGAAACAAGGAGATCTAAACAAAAGTTTTGACATGGGCTAGATTGCTTTACTATATGTCTATATGAAACCATAAAAATAAATATAAATTAGAAATGGCATAATATCAATTGAGTATATGAAATCACGAAACACTTTTGTGAGACTTTTCAAGTGCATTTGCACATCCAACTAACATCTCAAGAGAGTGCGGCTAACCAAATATAAATAGAGATACAAGATATACTTGATACTAGTACAACACATGTTATAGACTACAAGAAACCAAAACCTAAAAAAAAAAAAAACAACATATAGTGATAATTGCCGCCCAAACTTCTACTTTGAACTTCCAATATAACAAGAAGGGAAAAAGTAAGGAATGACAAAAGCACAAAAGTGGGAACTATATGAAGCTGCTCTAAAATTGGGGGCAACAGGTATTCATTCACCAACAAAACACTAAACTCTGGATGTCCCAAGCTTACGTTCAAATAGGCATTTGAGCAGATAGACTTGGAGAACACTCGCCCCAATAAGTGTTGTTGATTCAAAGATTGCCTTATGGATTGCTCTTTTGCTCATTCCTTCGTTAACTGCATCCAAATCAGGTAAATTTCAAGTCATATTTCTCATGCTGTTAACAATGTACACAAGAATTACATTTTTTTTTAAGTATGCGGGGAGAGAGAAAAACTTAAACATACAGAAACTAAGCTTAATGATAAGGGAGAATTCCGCATTTCAATTTACAGCTCGTTCTACAACCAGCAAGAGATAACTTTAACTCTTTATAAGTTTCACTCCCTAATGCATAAGACTGATTCTTGCCTATCCTTAACAGAGTTTACAAAGGCAAATTATTAGTTATTTTTCTTGTAAAAAACATGTAATTTAGGATGTTATTTGGTCATATAACTTCCAAGATAGGGAAGCAAATTCTAGGTAAGTGCAAAATGGGGATTACAACAAAAATATCCAATTTCAATTTTATTATGCATAGGCATAGAGAACAACTCTTAGCTAGCTGAATTTTACATCAAACAATACATAATCACAAGTTCATGGTATAGTTCACTTAATGTTTAATCAAAATTGGCAGGGGACTAAAAACAAGTCTGAAATATATATATATATATATATAGCTTGCAGGACCTAAAAGATGAACTAATCTAATAATGTCTCTCACGAATAATAATAGTATTCATAGAATAACATTTTCTCGATAATTGCGTATTTTTGGCAAAGGTTTAATTTTGGAAATTTTGATCTAAACCTACTTTTAGTTACTTTAAGGTTCACTTTTGGAATACACAGGAAACAAATTTTTTTTTTAAATAAAGCATGATTTGAAATAAAAATATGTTCCCAAAGAACGTACTTATTGCTTGGCGATCGGTCTCAGCCTCCAACCAGTGCTGTTCAAACTGTATGTTGTAGAGAGCCTCCTCCAATTTATTAATCTGTTCATACACTGCTCAAATGCTCTGCTAATTGTCACATTGGTCTCATAAGATTTTCCTTAAATGAAACAGTAGAAAAAATTTGTTCAATTAAGGCAATGTATTGAGCTATTACCATCTTTTGCATGATGGTCAACATATCCATAGTGACCGGCAAGCACATCAAAATTTATGGTTTCATGATACGGGGACCCATTGGTAAAGCAAAAGTTGTAGACCCCCTTCTTGTGGGCGATAAACTCAAACTTCTCACTAGTTTTGTCACGAATGTCATGGATTTGTTCACCATCAGGTCCTTTCACCTGGCATCAAGACAATATGCCAATAGAGAGTAAGAGAAAAGTTTGCCATATTTTTGTAATAATAATCTGTCCAAAGCATGAAGTTCAATTAAAAGATAATATTGAATCATTATTAAATTGCACGTATAAAAAAAAAAATCTTACGGGGCTTTTTAACTAAAAGCCTTGTAAGGGGGAGTTTGGATTGAAACTACAATTTCGCTTTTGGTTGCAAATCAAAACCGTAGATCATTTGTATAGAGCATCAAGTACAAGTTCCATGAAACCAAAGGCTTTATTTGTGTTAGAGCGGGGGGCACAAGGCTCATATAGATGTAAATTACACAAGTGGGATAGCAAGTAGACACATTATGAAACTACTACCCCAGCCACATGGGGCATGAGCTGCTATAAGTGCCATCACTTAAAGTTATCCTTGATAACCACACTTCCTTTCTCCTCCAACCAAAACAAAATACATACCTACACTTTGGCATAAAGACGACTACTTTCTCATCAGCCTACTCATATGACTCATTCACCGTTCTTTGAGGTCCTAAATGACACCCAATTTCCAATAGAATTGCCAGTCCTCTGTGCTATAAAATTCATCATTTATGGAATTGCTTCCACCAAGAATGTGACCTCTGGGATTTAGGACCTCATCCTCGATTAGGGCAAAGGAATCAATTGTATATATATATATATATCAGAGGTGAGAGATTTAATGATAATAATAATAATAATAATAATAATAATAATAATAATAATAATAATAATAATAATAATAATAATAATAATAATAATATGTTGATGTTTGCTATCAGCCTGGGATTTCGACAAGGAAAGAGGTTGATATTGGACTGTCTCGAGGAAATGGTGGAGCTCTCCGACCTACAGACGTGTTACTCTATTCTTGGGATCGAGGTCGTGACGTGTGTTGACTTGAAATGATCTTCTCCTTTGACACAATTTGGGTTGTCTAACTTTGTTCAGGGGTGGGTTGTGACTGGTGCGGCTAATCGAAAGCGGGTCAAGTACGAAACAAGTTGTCGGGCAATTGGTTATGGTTTTTTTTCCTTTCTCTTTTTCATCTCTAGGGGAACTGGATAAGGATGATGTTGCGCTGATGAAGCGGGTTCAGAAGTTCTCTACGACTCTGGACATTGGGCTCGCGCTGCTGCTCATATTTTCACCAGCATAGGCTTTGCTATAACTAGAGGAGTGGAGCCCACATTGTATCTCGGCTTTCCACTAATTTTTGTAATTTTATTGACTTTAATTTGTTCATTTTTTAATAATAATTGGCAAATCGCTAATGAGTAACCATAATGAGATCGCTGCCCCCAAACTATGAAGAAATTGGCAGATATATATTTCACGAAGGTCACTGCATCTGCAGTTTCCACTTTCTCCTTATCTCCGCGTCAGGTTTCCTTGTGGAAGTCCTAGCAGGGGGATCACACATTTGCCTGGTTGCGAGCAGTCCCAACATCAGGTTTTGGTTAGACTATGAATGGTAAGACTTACCGTTGTGTTCTTTTCTACCAGTTGGGTGTTCCTTTGTTCTCCGTTTTGACACCGTGTTCTGCTTGCTCAAGGGTTTTTGATGGGGATATCTATGGGAATCATGTAGTGTCTTGTGCTAGGATGGTGGGTATTAAACATCGGCATAACATTGTTCATGATACCCTTGTTGATATTTGTTTTCGGTTTGGGATTTCTGCAAGAAAGGAGGTTAACGTTGGGTTGAATGGAGGGAACGACGGGGCTCTTCGACCAGCAGATGTGTTGCTTTATTCCTGGGACAGAGGCCTTGATGTATGTGTTGACTTGACAGGGTCTTCTCCTTTAACACAATTTGGGTTGTCTGACTTCGTTCCTGGTCGTGTTGTGTCAGTTGCGGCTCAGCGGAAGAGGGACAAGTATGGGGCGTGTTGCAGGGCTATTGGTTATGGTTTTCTTCCTTTCTCCTTTTCTTCATTGGGGGAATTAGAGTGTGCTGGCTGGCTGGGCTGCCCAGCCTTAGTGCTAAGCGCCAGCTGGCAGCCTTGGCAGAGGCTGGCTGGCGTGGCGAGGTCAAACCTGGTCAAGGGAGGGGACTATTGCTTGGTGTTTGGCTTGGGGAGCAAGGTGTTTTGGTCCCCCCTTTGGGGGTCCTCACCAACCTTCTCCCTCCATGTGACACTTAGATCTTGTTGATTGCCTTACATTCTAATTTGTTTTTTGATTAAAATAAATTGGTGGAAAAATGCAATTCTCCCATATTGATGGGAGAAGGGAGATCAAGTCTCCTTTCCCTATAAATATACCCAAGTTTTGGGTTTGGGAAAAACCACTTGAGTTGAACTCAATAAGGCATCTCCCTATAGGTGAGAAAACCTTTAAGTTCGTAATACTCTAGTCTTTTCTTGGTCTAGCCCCGACTAACCTTCGGGGTAGAGGCCGTTCGGGTCGGGTCTTGAGGGTGGACTCCGTCAGAGGCTCTCGCGCTTGCGGAGCTAAGGCTTTGAAGTCCGAGCTCTATAGGAGCGAAGCACGCGTCGAGGGTAAGAATGTCATTTCCCTTTCTCTTTCTTTTGTTGTTTAATTATGTGATTGCATGCTTAGTTGCTTTAATTAGTGGGCGGGTCTTGGGTGGGTTTCTCTTCCGCGTAGTGTTGAACGCTACGAAACCCAACAAATTTATTGTACTTCATGGTACTAAGGAATTTATTGTAACCATAAGAAATACAAAATTTATCCAGTGTCATGTGAATTTGTCAGTTAGCCCTCCTATATGCATGCATCCCAAATAAATAGCTGCTATGCGCCTAGTTGCACCCAATGCCGGGTGAAAATTCTTACCCATGTTTACTCTATGAGTAATTCACCTTGTAATTTTTTTGTCACAAGGTTGATCAATCCACTCAGTTGTGGTATTTGAGGGTGAGGATCTCTTATTCTTTTCCCTCACTTTTCAAGAGTCTGACCCACAAATATTAGAATAAAAAAAATGGTGATGGTTGGGACACAATCAAGGTCATTCTTAGAAAAATAAAATTACGGAGTAACGACATATCATTAAGGTACAATCTAAAGACTTAATTTTAGCCAATAATAGTCATCCTTTTAAAATTAAAATTAAAAAAAAGTTATAATTCTACTACTTTGATTCACCAAATCACCTCCATCGTTTGTTACAGTTTTATAGTACAGGCGTCTGTATCAAGCTTGGTACAGACAAAAAAAAGCAGAAAGAACATACAATTGTTTTGTAAAGAACATACAGCTGTTTTGTAAAGAATATCCAACTTTTTTTTTTTTGTATATCTAAAGAACATCTGTAATATTAATAAAGAACATGATAATAATATTATATAATGAACATTATTTATATATACCACCATAATTTAAAAAAAAAATTCAAAGAACATTTAACAATATGCAATGAATAAATTGTCACAAATAAAAGTACATTACACTGACAATCAAAGAACATGGACATATGTTCTTCAATTCTTTTCACTCTTTTTTGGTGCAAATATATCCTTTTCACTCTAGGTATATGTTCATTACATATTAATAGTATATTCTTTTCACTATACCTATATGTTCATTACATTTCTATAATATGTTCTTTCCACTTTTTTTTTAATGAAACGACTGTACGATGCACATTGTACAGGCGCATCATACAGACCCCTGTAGGAACCATGCATTGGCTATTGGATCCCTTCTACGAAGTATTTTGTTCTGTGATGCTGAAGATTTTTTTTGCATCTGCCGATTTAAATTATGTAAATGATTTAATTTTAATTTAGCCATCATATCATACCAGAGTTGCATGGGTAATGTTTTTTTTCATACATTTTACTTGGAATTGGACACATTTTGACACAACCTGGAAATCAACACATATATACGAAGTATTACTGAATCTTGTATACGAAATTAAAAACCAAAACCCAAAAATGAACAAATTGAATGAAAATTGTATAATACACCAGGGTGCACCACGCTCATGGTGCACTTGGTGATGTGGCATAACTAATTAGCATTAAATTAATGGAAAATAAAAAAAAAATTAGTGAAATAAAAAAAAATAAAAAATTTCTGGGCGAAATTATAGGGAATTAGAATTATTCCCTTTAAACTACTTTCAGTTTTAAATTATTATCCTTAATGAACATTTTTCATTTTAAAAACATTTTAAAGAGATTTTTGGGTTTCAATAATACAAAGTATGTTCTTTGAATTTGGCTCATATTTTCTTTGAGGTAACGAGTGACGTACAAATTCTTTTTTGAATTATCATATATCATTATTCTTTATAATCGTATGTTCTTTGAGTTTGATCAGTGTGTTTTTTCAGGTATGAATTATATGTTCTTTACATTATATTTTATGCTATTTTAACATATGTTATTTTGAAATTTAAATTGAAAATGAAATCTTGATTTTTTTCTTAGTTGAAAATATTTTAGAGAGAGAAAACTAAAATTATTATGGAAAGTTAATTTTTGGAGAGAGAAAAAACAATTTTTGGGAAATGATGTCTTTGGTAAGGATTTTTTTCATTAATGTGTAATTTTTCATAAAATTTTAATAAAGTTTTTATCACGTTCTTTTGGTAATGTCAAACATGTTCTTTTTCAAAAACCTGCATGTTCTTTTTCGAACAGTTAAATGTTCTTTCTGCCTTTTTTTTAATTTAACCAGGTGTACCATGTGCATGGTGCACTCGGGTGCACAGATCATGCACACCAAAATGAATACATGTGGGTCAAATTCAATCCGGCCAATTAAGTTTGTTTAAGATAGGCAAATAAAGTAAATAATAATTTTACTCTCTAGTATTTATGTATAGGGGTGATCACGGATCGGATATCCGAATCCGAAAATTCTTGTATTTGATATTCGTATCCGATCCGAAAACTTTCGGATCGGATAGTTCGGATATCTAATATCCGGATATTTTAAAAATATATTATTTAAATGCTATTTTAATAGCTAATTTGATTTTTTTTAAAGGAAAAAGATACATTTAACTTTTTTGTTTTATGGAGTATAACCTGAACCATAGTTCAAAAACAACAACAACGACAAAAAAAAAAAAAAAAAAAAAAAAAAAAAAAAAAACCTAGCAGAACAAACTGATAGATAAAATCGTAAAATACAGTAGGAATTAAAGTGTAACTAATTTTTACAAATTACCCACCAATGTGCTACAATCAATACCAATTGCTACTAATTTAATTATACAATTAATACTAATTGCAACAAGGATATTACCCACCAAGTCAAGAATCTCAAGAAGAACGAACGAGGTCAACCAGCCACCCAAGATATTAATACATGGGAGCTTGAGGACCGAGCGAAGTCGTAGCTGGTGGAGTAGGAGCAACCGCGAGAGTGAGAGAGATGAGGGAAGCCACCGTGAGGAGGAGGGGGGAGCCATGACCGTGAGATGACTGAGATCTGAGAGGCAGTGAGGAGGAGATAATGGAGAGAGGAAAGAGAAAGGGGCGGTGAAGGGGATCTGAGAGGAGAGAGAAGAGAGAGAGGCGGTTAGGAAATGGATTTAGGGTTTGGGTTTTTGGGAGAATGAGGTAAATACTAAAGAGTAACTGAAAGTTTGAAACCGTAAAATAAAAATGAAATAATAATGTAATTAATTTTTCCGGATATCGGATCGGATATTTGAATATCCAATTTTATTTCGGATATCGGATATCCAAAATCCGATATGGTGATATTTGATTCGAAATCAATCAGATCGGATATCCACAATTTTCGGATCGGATTATCGGATTTTCGAATTTTCAGATAATTTTGCTTAACCCTATTATGTATTGATGTCACTACCCTTTGCCCGTTTACTTTTATATTTGATAAGTTCTTAAGTGTTATTTTCTTTACATATTCTTCTTAAGAGAATTCAACTAATTTTACTTGAAATTTATACATCTCTAGTTCTGTATAGATTATACTCCGTACAAATTTAGTTCTGTTTAAATAAACACCAATAATTTGCAAATATTTGAAACTATAAAAATGTTCTTCACCCGACTTGACCCAACCCTACCCTGTATTTTGACAAGTTTCTTACTATTTCTGGTCATGTCTTATGTGAACATCATTATTGTTTATGTGGTGATAAACAACATCCTTATTATTGATTTCCTTTATCACATTTTTTTAGTGACTTTTATAATCTCTTTTGTAAACCAGGTAGCCCATATGGCCTGGTCATCCTTTGTTTGAAAATCAAATGTTACCTTATTGTAGATTGACTGTATATGCTACTCCTTCCGTGTTTAAATAAATGAAACGTTTTAACTTTTTGCACTATTCATCTAATTCACTTTGACTAATGTTTGTGATTATTACATAAAAATAAGAAAAGTCTTTGTGCGTACTTTTTGAAATCATTTCAATGAATAATCTATTAAAATTCAATTGTTATATTTTTATTTATTGATAATTAAAGATATTATCAGTCAAAGTATTGCGCGCATTGACATATATGAACAAGGAAAACGTTTCATTTATTTAAATATGGGGGGAGTATTACATTTTCCTTGTTAAAAAGTTGACAATCTATCTAATTTGACAATTATATGTTACTTATACTAATAGTATAATATCCTATGATGGATATATTGTTTGAAGTATTAAGCAAAGTTTGACTCACTTGGTAATAATCTTATTTTATATCTTAGAAATCTAATGTTCGAATCTTATCAGGTACGGAGTATTTGAAGTTGGAGATCTTATTATATTGCGCTTTTATTGCACACATAAACTTAAAAAGTACTGATTAGAGCTTCTCCAATGTTTTTTTTTTAAAAAAAAAGACTTTAAATTACAATGTTTTGATCTGTATATTATTCACATACCTTAATTTGACCATCATACGATATATAGGTAAGAAAAACAAAAGAATAACAAAAGATGAACACAAAATTTGATCTCAAATCTTAAAACTAAACAAATATTTGATAACGAAGACAACAAAATCATAAGATAACGAAGATCACCCAATTAGAAAATTGAAATTGTCCATTGTTGACATTGAAATCGTTTATCACGTCCTACAAAGTACAAGTACAACTAGGGGTGTACACCGGTCCAAAACCGGACCGGACCTGGACCGGACCTGTTTGGACCGGGGACCTGAATTAGGTAATTTTGAGGACCGGGGACCGGACCTGATTTAACAGGTACGGTTCCGGGCCAGACCTGAAAAATCAGGTCCGGTCCGGGTTTAGACCTGAATGGACCTGTTTTGTGATTTTTTCGTTTTTTTTTTTTTTTTTTTAATAAATAACCTGTTTCAAAGGCTGTGATCCAGAATTACTATAACTTTAAGATGATTCTAACCTCATAAGATTGCCAATTCATCTCTGGATGTCCACTCTAGTTCTGTTTCATCAAATTTAAGCATAAAGAACCAAACTTTAATATCTAACTTTCAACGACTAAAAAACCCAACAACCTTAACCTCAAATTTGTCCATCTTCAATTCATCTAAACAATTTTTATCATGATTAATATTAAATACAGACCAAAAAAAGAAATTATTTTGACAGGAGGCTCAGATCGGCATAGCATCAAACAAACAATTTGGTGTGGCAAATCTAGCAAGGGAAAAATCAACAATGGCGGCAAACCAAACCTGAAAAGATGCGCATTTGAAGAGAGAGAAAATCTCAACCCAGCAACATGCAAACACCCATCAAATTGCTGCCAAGCCAAATGGCAAATTAACCAAAACAAGAAATGCCCACAAAAACCAAATTGAAAATTGATTGCTATTAAACGATTAATTATCATCACAGCCTCATTATTGGTACAATTACTACTTCTAGTACTACTGAATTTTATTTTTATTTTTTGGGTTTTTGGATTGATCGATTTTGGGCGGTGGGCGGAGAGACAGTGACTCAGTGAGACTTGAGATTCTGAGAAGTTGAGAGTGAGGGATAGTGGGAGACAGGGAGTTAGCACTTAGGGTTAGAACTTAGAAATGAAAGAGAAAAGTGAAGAGTCAGCGTTGATTTTTGAATTTTTTTTTTTTTTTAAAAAAAAATACAATTTTCCCGGGTTTCAGGTCCGGACCTGAAAACCCCGGGTTTAGACCGGGTCTGGACCGGGACCGGAAACCTGGATTTTCAAGGACCGGGACCGGACCTGAATCAACGGGTCCGGGTCAGGTCCGGTCCGGTTCAGGTCGGTTCAGGTCCGGTTTCATGTCCGGTCCAGTTTTTGTACACCCCTAAGTACAACGCTACGACCATTCTCGCTCTCCAACTTAGAAACTTAAACACAACACATTTAGGTTCTTTATTAAATTAATTAAAATTAAAAATAATAAATAAATAAAAAAAAAAAAAAAGAAAGTTGGAATATAGAGATGGACGCCTTGTTTGATTTAATCTGCGAGATCCTCGTGCTCTCCTCACTCTTCAAGTCCTATAAATGTCTGCCTTTACCACCCCCCTCTTTCTTCCCATTAATTCTTTCTCTCTGCTCTTCAAGTACTTTGATTTCCTCTCTTTCTTAAGTAAGTAATTCCATTTATAGTTTTAATTCATCACATTTTCAATCATATCTTCTTGTGATTTCTGGAGTCAATACCTGACTTTCCTCTTTCCTCTCTCTTCGAAGTTCGAAAATCCTCTGCCAGTCCGCCGCTCTCGCTCGTCGGCTCCACTCCCGGCACTCCGTCCCTCCGTCCGTCGACTCAGCGCCGTCGCTGCTTCGTGATTCACTGCTTCGTCCGTTCGTCGGCTCGTCGCTGGACTCGCTGCTCTCCATTCGACCTCGCTAAATCGCTAGACCCAATTCACGGTATTTAAATCTGAATTTAATCTCTGAATTATTAGTTTATCACTTGTTTAATTGTTTTATAGTTTATACTTTTATTCAATTATTCTGGATATTGAAGATTTGAAGTATTGAACTATTGAAATTTTGAAATGTGTTGGTTTATTGTCTTATTGAAATCTCTGAATATTGAAATCTGTTGGTTAATTGGTTTATTACTTGTTTTTTTCTTCTGTTTTTGTAAATTTATTGAAATAATGAAATGTATAGTTAATTTTGTGAACTTTTGATTGCATTATTTTCTCCTGTTTTTGTGAGTAAGTAATTCCATTTATAGTTTTAATTCATCACATTTTCAATCAACTCTTCTTGTTTTTTACGCTCTTTTAATCTGTGATTTATGGAGTCAATACTGTTGTTCATTGACTTTTTTGTTAGGATGATTAAATGGGTCATATTTCATTTCTCGATTTGCATGAAATAATGTTAAATTTATAATCTTTTTATTTGTCATCAAATTTCTGTGAATTTGGGTGGTGGTTGTAGAATTTTCTGCTGTTTTTTGGGGTCATTCATAAATTATGGTTGAATTTTGTAGTGTTTTGTTTCTTGTAATTGTGTCAAATTTGGGAATATGACTAATGATTTGTGTTTTTGTTTCTGTAGTTATTCGTCGACTTGAATTATGACTCCTGCACCAGATTCCAAGTCAATCAATCCCAAAGGTTAAATCTTTACTTCTATTGATTTGCATTGTTTTGTTCTTTTTTGTTTTCGATGTAAAGGACACTGAAGTAGACGAGATTTGGTATCGGGTCTTGGGTATCACCCCTAAGAAGTTACCACCTAAGTTAGTTTTTATATGAAATACATCGATGATTGGCTTGCATTATGGGTCTTAAATAAATTGTTGTTCTTGCACATTTTAGTTTGTGAAGTGATTTATACTGGTTTTTGAAGTGGTTTAGTGATTTATACTGGTATTTTGCTTGGTGTGACTTTGAAGAAGCTTGATGATCATCTTATAATCTTGCACACACTAGAGTGTACCCGTGCAAATGCAAGGGATGCTATATTATATGAAATGATATGAGACTTGTTAATTTAATTTTATTCCTAGCATTTCAAATGTGGGAAATTGATTTTGATATAGAATTAGACCTTTTTTTGTAAGGAATTATTGGTTTTTAGTATAATTATTGATTATTATTGATTTTAGAATAATTAGATCCCATTTTTTTTAGAATAATAATAATACTTGGTTTTAGAATAAGGCAAGGAATTATTGATTTTGGAATTATTAACCCCCCCCCCTTTTTTTAAGGATAATATGAAGTAATAATTATTGATTATTAATGGTTTTAGAATTATGCAAGGAATTATTGATTTTAGAATAATTAGACCCCTTTTTTCCCTAAGAAATTATTGATTTTTGAGGAAATTGATTTTGATATAGAATTTGATGTAGTAATGAATGATTTAAAATGTTGGAATTTATTTTTTAAAGGTCGATAGTGGAAGCCGTGGAAGAAATTTCTCGGCTTTTTTCGTTGTGTTTAGAAATCTGAAGCTTATATTGATAAATAAAGATTCTTCTAGTCTTTCATGAGTTATAGATTCTTGAGATTTGAGATCTATATTGTCCATACAATTGTCTTGTTTTTCTTTATGCAGATGTCTGCATTGTTGGTGTTGCACGTACACCCATGGGTGGTTTCCTTGGTACACTTTCATCCTTGACGGCCACTAAGCTTGGATCCGTTGCTATTGAGGGTAAGATTATGGCTATTTATTGGATAGTCTTAGATTGTACTAGTCTTTTGCTGTTTTACCTTTTTTAACTAATAAATTAATTAAATAAAGTGACTGATTTTCACTTGCAAAAAATGTAGGTGCATTGAAAAGGGCAAACATCGACCCATCCCTTGTACAAGAAGTGATTTTTGGAAATGTTCTTAGTGCAAATTTAGGTCAGGCTCCTGCAAGGCAAGCAGCATTAGGGGCAGGAATACCAAATACGGTGGTATGTACCACGGTCAATAAAGTTTGTGCATCAGGGATGAAAGGTATAGTGTGCACTATCATATACCATTAAATCTTTGCATTTAATACGAGTTTGAAAACATATTTGCCTATTTTCTTTGTTTACAGCTGTGATGCTTGCGGCACAAAGTATCCAATTGGGTCTCAATGACGTTGTTGTGGCAGGAGGCATGGAAAGCATGTCAAATGCCCCTAAATACATAGCTGAAGCCAGGTTGATGCTACATTCTTATTAATTCTAGTGTTTGCTATCCAATTACTTAATTGGTTTAGTAACTTCGTAAAGTGCCCTTAGCCTTTCCTATCAATATAAATATATACCCCATAATGATATAATTAATAAATAAACAATGGAAGTGAATTTATTAGGCAAATAACCAAAACCATGAATAGAAGGGCATTGTTGTATTATTGTCTTATGTTTACCTTTTTAGACCGCCCCACAGTACTATCTGAATGATGTATTATTGTCTTATGTTTACCTGTCTAGAGCTGTTGTTCTCATGTCCCATAAACTAGCGCATGTAATATACATCTCACCTTATATGCCAACATTTCAGGAAGGGTTCCCGTCTTGGACATGACACACTTGTTGATGGGATGCTCAAAGATGGGCTGTGGGATGTTTACAATGATTGTGGCATGGGAGTTTGTGCTGAATTATGTGCAGAACATCATGCAGTAACAAGAGAGGATCAGGTAAAGTCTTGACTCCATTTTTAATGCTTGTACCATCCATATATAGGGTAACTATGTCTTGCTCTAACTAATTGCTTTTTGATAGAATTATGCTTAAAGTTGGAGATTGATCCATATTATCACCACAATTTATAAATAAACCTTTAACTTAAACCTATGTGGTAAAAGCTATTGCATTTCTTCTCTATTTTATACAATGAATAAATACTTGTTTTGCATGACGCTACAGGATAACTATGCTTGCCAAAGCTTTGAGCGTGGCGTTGCTGCTCAGGAGGCTGGTGCTTTTTCATGGGAGATAGTTCCCGTAAGGGCATAACTTTGTTGTTATATTTTCATTCTCTTTTCTGTGATTGTTTCATACTGATATATATGTATCGGTGCAGGTTGAAGTTTCCGGTGGAAGGGGAAAACCAACAACAGTCGTTGATAAAGATGAAGGCCCTACTAAGGTATAATATTGATAAGTAACATTGTCAATGACATCTCATGTTGAATAGTAATTATTTATGTGTACGTTAATGTTTGTTTATCCCTTTGTTATATTGATTGTTTGATGCTCTATGTCTTTTCATTATTTTACCAAAAATCCTTTTCCTATTCCTATTCAATTTTTTTTCTATGGCCTTCAAAATGCAATGACCTTTGTGGAGAGTATTGACGTGGTCCTGGTGTAGCCAAGAAGTACCCCTTCTATGTAATTTTCAATTTCTTATGTCAAAATAAAATGAATGAAAAAACTGGTCATCAAGTGGCTCATTTTGATTTGAGTAAAGCCTATAAGCTCTCTGGACTGATTTGACTTTACATCTGTATTCTGCCAAAGTTTTCATTTCTGTTTATGCTATCTTTATCAGGGGCTGCTTGAGTTCATCTTTTTTCTTCTCTTGTGTGTTGCAGTATGACCCTGCCAAATTAAGAAAACTTAGACCAAGTTTCAAAGCAGATGGAGGCACTGTTACTGCTGGAAATGCTTCTAGCATAAGGTTTGTCACTTACTCGTGGATGTTGTGCTTGTTAGGTGATATATATGTAGGGAAGTCAAATGTTGCAAACTTGCAGTGCATGCACTCTTTTCTAACATTTTTATTGTTTGATGACAGTGATGGTGCTGCTGCAATTGTTTTAGTGAGTGGAAAGAAGGCACTAGAGCTTGGGTTAGAGGTGATTGCTAAGATTAGTGGTTATGGAGATGCTGCTCAGGTATTGTATGAACTTTTTACTTGTAGACAACATACTCTAGAGTTTTACGTAAAAAGTTTGGAGGATTATTATTACCTATAAAGTAATAAGTTTTTTTAATATGCATTTTGAGTTTTGCCATCATGGCATTTTTTTGTTACTGAATCCTAATTTATGGTCAGGCTCCAGAGAATTTTACGACAGCTCCTGCCCTCGCAATACCAAAGGCCATTTCTCATGCAGGCTTGAATGCTTCTCAGATTGATTACTATGAGATAAATGAAGCTTTCGCTGTATGTGCTCTTTTTCTTTGTCATGCTTGAAGCTATGAGCAACTGTCATATTTTAATTAATCTTCTTCTGACATGAGCAGGTTGTTTCTGTTGCGAACATGAAATTGCTTGGACTTTCTGAGGTCAGTCTCCTGGGACCTAAAACTTCTTGCACACTGAAAAAACAATATATTCACGCTCAATTATGTTTGCATAAAGTTGTGTCATGTCCACATCATTGTGCCGTCGTTAGTGTTGTGGTTTCTTCATATGCTAACAAGGTCCTGAGCCATTCGACTTGATGGTGTTTGTTGACTTTCTACCTTCAATTCTGCAGGAAAAAGTAAATGTGCATGGTGGAGCTGTGTCTTTGGGACACCCTCTTGGGTGCAGTGGAGCACGAATCATCGTGACACTCTTGGGGGTATAACTCTAATTGCTCTTTTACGGTGTATGTTTGTATAGTTTGGTGCAAAAATGTATCTCAAAATCATTTCATTTGACACAGTTACAATTTTGTTATCCTCATACAATGAATAGTGGGTATATCAGGTTAAGACGAGTTATCAAAAGTATCTGAATGCAACCCTTTTTTGGTTGGCTGTACCTTTTTACAGGGTTGTTATTGACTCTTTCCTGATTGTAATTGCATTGCTTTTACAGGTACTACGACAGAAAAGTGGGAAATATGGTGTTGCTGGTGTTTGTAATGGTGGAGGTGGTGCATCTGCTCTTGTTGTAGAGCTTTTGTAAGACTTGATATTTAAGGTAACCCCAAGCAATAGTCCTCACTCATTGCAGTTTTGAATAATAATATTTCGTCAAGCTTTGGGCATCTTCATTCCTGCTTTTGGCCCTTATATAGTTCTGTACTTTCTGAAATAGAAATTCCAGCAGTATATTTTAGTATCATTCAGTGAAGGATACAAAATAAATCTGACTGGGAGAGAACTCTGAAATGTGTTGTATTATGCTTTTAAATTGCAGGCTTATTGAGGACTTAGCTCATCACAACGTTGGAGGAGCTGTTAGAAATAAGTTGTATGCAACCTGTCATTTATGACATTTTTTATGCCCCCCTTTATATGGCTCCAGTAATGCAAGCATTTTTTTTAAAAAAATAAAATTAATAGTGGTACAAATGTTTTCGTACTTCGGTAGCTTTTGGTTTTTGTTTTTTTTCTTACTTGGCGTTTGGAAGTTTAGATGATATGATAGTATTTGTTTTATGTTGTACTAGGACCGACCAATTGAATGGGGGCATAAGCTGTATTCTTTGTATCTCATCTTTAAGTTTATGTCTATTCTTGATTTTAAGTAATAATAAGCTGAATGTTGATTCCGAAAATGGAATTGGATCCATTACATATTGCAATTAACCTGAATGGTGAGTGCAAGTCCATCAGCTGGATTATTAAACAGTTGGTTTTGTGTTACTATCATTGACAGGTGAAAAGTGATGGTTTTCAACTTCAAATTCCATCATCTTTTATTAGACTGTTTAAGAGTGGCAGCTAATCATTAATTTGTAGGGGCGTAATTGCTCATCTTTGCCTATAATACTTTTCATAAATTTTGTTTATCACAAAGGTATAAAAACTGAAATGCAATACTCATTAGATCTTGCTAACGAACGCCTCCGGGGCGTTAAATAACCCTTTAAAATAGTTCCTAAAATGGTACGAAATATTAATTTGAAAATACATGCCAAAATCGCACAGTGATCAATGTAATTAATGTTTACGGAGTATTTCAAGTTAATATTTCTACTTTAATTTATCTTGTCGGGCATTCGTTAGCTTTTGCCATTAATAATAATTATGAACATTAATTACAGACATTAATAATAATTATGAATATTAATTATGGACATTAATATATATGTAGACATTAATATAAAATGAAAACAACAGGAAACAAGGAGATCTAAACAAAAGTTTTGACATGGGCTAGATTGCTTTACTATATGTCTATATGAAACCATAAAAATAAATATAAATTAGAAATGGCATAATATCAATTGAGTATATGAAATCACGAAACACTTTTGTGAGACTTTTCAAGTGCATTTGCACATCCAACTAACATCTCAAGAGAGTGCGGCTAACCAAATATAAATAGAGATACAAGATATACTTGATACTAGTACAACACATGTTATAGACTACAAGAAACCAAAACCTAAAAAAAAAAAATCAACATATAGTGATAATTGCCGCCCAAACTTCTACTTTGAACTTCCAATATAACAAGAAGGGAAAAAGTAAGGAATGACAAAAGCACAAAAGTGGGAACTATATGAAGCTGCTCTAAAATTGGGGGCAACAGGTATTCATTCACCAACAAAACACTAAACTCTGGATGTCCCAAGCTTACGTTCAAATAGGCATTTGAGCAGATAGACTTGGAGAACACTCGCCCCAATAAGTGTTGTTGATTCAAAGATTGCCTTATGGATTGCTCTTTTGCTCATTCCTTCGTTAACTGCATCCAAATCAGGTAAATTTCAAGTCATATTTCTCATGCTGTTAACAATGTACACAAGAATTACATTTTTTTTTAAGTATGCGGGGAGAGAGAAAAACTTAAACATACAGAAACTAAGCTTAATGATAAGGGAGAATTCCGCATTTCAATTTACAGCTCGTTCTACAACCAGCAAGAGATAACTTTAACTCTTTATAAGTTTCACTCCCTAATGCATAAGACTGATTCTTGCCTATCCTTAACAGAGTTTACAAAGGCAAATTATTAGTTATTTTTCTTGTAAAAAACATGTAATTTAGGATGTTATTTGGTCATATAACTTCCAAGATAGGGAAGCAAATTCTAGGTAAGTGCAAAATGGGAATTACAACAAAAATATCCAATTTCAATTTTATTATGCATAGGCATAGAGAACAACTCTTAGCTAGCTGAATTTTACATCAAACAATACATAATCACAAGTTCATGGTATAGTTCACTTAATGTTTAATCAAAATTGGCAGGGGACTAAAAACAAGTCTGAAATATATATATATATATATAGCTTGCAGGACCTAAAAGATGAACTAATCTAATAATGTCTCTCACGAATAATAATAGTATTCATAGAATAACATTTTCTCGATAATTGCGTATTTTTGGCAAAGGTTTAATTTTGGAAATTTTGATCTAAACCTACTTTTAGTTACTTTAAGGTTCACTTTTGGAATACACCGGAAACATATTTTTTTTTTTAAATAAAGCATGATTTGAAATAAAAATATGTTCCTAAAGAACGTACTTATTGCTTGGCGATCGGTCTCAGCCTCCAACCAGTGCTGTTCAAACTGTATGTTGTAGAGAGCCTCCTCCAATTTATTAATCTGTTAATACACTGGACTCAAATGCTCTGCTAATTGTCACATTGGTCTCATAAGATTTTCCTTAAATGAAACAGTAGAAAAAATTTGTTCAAATAAGGCAATGTATTGAGCTATTACCATCTTTTGCATGATGGTCAACATATCCATAGTGATCGACAAGCACATCAAAATCTATGATTTCATGATACGGGGACCCATTGGTAAAACAAAAGTTGTAGACCCCCTTCTTGGGGGCGATAAACTCAAACTTCTTATTAGTTTTGTCACGAGTGTCATGGATTTGTTCACCATCAGGTTCTTTCACCTGGCATCAAGACAATATGCCAATAAAGAGTAAGAGAAAACTTTGCCATATTTTTGTAATAATAATCTGTCCAAAGCATGAAGTTCAATCAAAAGATAATATTGAATCATTATTAAATTGCACGTATGAAAATAAAAAATCTTACGGAGCTTTTTAACTAAAAGCCTTGTAAGGGGGAGTTTGGATTGAAACTACAATTTCACTTTTGGTTGCAAATAAAAAACGTAGACCATTTGTATAGAGCATTAAGTACAAGTTCCATGAAACCAAAGGCTTTATTTGTGTTAGAGCGGGGGGCATAAGGCTCATATAGATGTAAATCACACAAGTAGGATAGCAAGTATACACATTATGAAATTACTACCCCGGCCGCATGGGCAATGAGCTGCTATAAGTGCCATCACTCAAAGTTATCCTTGATAACCACACCTCCTTTCTCCTCCAACCAAAACAAAATACATAGCTACACTTTGGCATAAAGACGACAATTTTCTCATTAGCCTACTCATTGACAGGTTCTAGTCGTATAACCTAATCAAAAGTAATTATCTAAGTCCTTTAACTAAAGTAGATAGGGAAGTAGGGTCGATTCCACAGGGAAACAATGTTCTTTTACTCCTAATTAATTATTATAATCTAGATTATAGAGTAACTAATTTGTATTTGTATGAATTTAACTAATAATTAAACTAAGCAAATAAATCAAAGGAATAATCAATAATAAAAAGCTCTAGGGTATAGGTTCACCAATAAATAACACTCCAGGGTAAATATAACAATAAATCATTAATGCATAAATTAACCAGATTATAAAGGGTTGTCGCTACGTATTATAATCACATAATTATTCTACCGGTATTAAATCGCATCTCTCGAATCTTGACCTAACCATTTATAGACTAACATGCCTATTGAAACTAAGTCTAAACATCAATTCTCATCTCTCAAATCTCGAATCAATATTGCAAAACTCATACAATTTAACCTGCGCAAATCTAATTGCATAGCATTAAATCAATCAATAGGAAACTAATCAATCATCAATAATCAACAATAATAATTTATCCCTTCGTATTATTCATGGATCCCCATTAACCCTAGAATAAAATCTACTCACACATAATTAAATCTAAATTAAACAAAGCAATTAAATTAAACATGATACAAACAATAATTAAAATAAGAAGAAGAATAATAGTATTAAAATAAAATAATAAATCTTGATATGATATGAAACGTAGAAAAGAAAACTAAAGTAAAACTAAAAGAAAACTAAACTAAAGCTCAAAGAAAAGAAAACTAAAACTACCAAAAAAAACAAAACTAAAACTACGGACTCCCCCTAATACTACTACTACTCCCCCTTTTATAAACAAAAACTTATCTTATTAAAAAGCCTAGGAAAACTAATTCCCCCCCCCCCCCCCCCCCCCACCCCACTAAAACTCCTCCAGCCAAATTAGATTTAAGTCCACCGAGAATTAGAACTAAGTGGGCCTAAACACTAGCCCACTATGATGAAGTGAAAAGCTCCAAGCCTCCAGCAACATGCTTGCCCTGCCGGGCCAGCTACCGCCCGACCGGGCCCGGTCAGGTGATTGGCCCAGCAACATTCTCTTGGGCTTTGAAGTTTCTTGTATCTGGGCCTTTTTGAATGAGCTCAATTTCCTATTAGTAGTTTGGTCCATATTTCTTGTGAGAACTTTGAACCATTCTCTTATCTAATCGAGCCCTTAGTTTATCGAACCAAAATCCTTTAACTCGATTTTGGGCTTCATATAAACGGTCATAAATACGATCAAACTCCAATATCTTCGTAGTGGCTCAATAAGCTCGGGAATTATTATAAATCCGCAAATTCCTGCAAAAAAATAGCAACTCTACAAAAATACTAGAAAACGTATATTACTAATAAAAAATAGCTCCGCAGAGCTCAAATAAGCACAAATATGACCGTGGGACGGGGAATAAAAATATATATAAAATAGACTTATCACTCATATGACTTATTCACCGTTCTTTGAGGTCCCAAATGACACCCAATTTCTAATAGAACTGCCAGTCTTCTGTGCTATAAAATTCATCATTTATGGAATTGCTTCCACCAAGAATGTGACCTCTGGGATTTAAGACCTCATCCTCGATTAGGGCAAAGGAATCAATTGTATCAGTATCATGTCCACACTTAAGATACTTTACACATTTACTGTGTTTTCTTCACAAAGTACTTGACTGTGGATGTGGTGGTCTGTCAAGGTGATTTGTTGAGAAAAAAGGACCTCTACTGGTGCAGAGTTAGAAATTAGGCTTGAATGCCCACATTGCTCTATTTAATTAACAAGTTAGCAATTTATTATCATGTATTGCGCTAGTGCGTGTTGGATATTTAGAGTGTTGATGGTTGCGCGCTCGCGACCATGAAGAGCGCCCACGCAAGGTAGGTGCGGCCGCGCAGAG